CCCCTCAGCCCCATCCCGGTGCCGGGGCGGTGTCCCCTCAGCCCCATCGCGGTCCCGTCCCGGTGCCGGGGCGGTGTCCCCGCGGTGCTGCCGGGCCGGGGCGGTGCCCCCGCTCTGACGGGATCCGGTGCGACGGCGGCCGCGCCATTTCCTGCGGCGGGACCGGGGATGGCGGCGCAGGACGTGCTCGGTCAGACCGCCCGGCTGGCCTCGTCCAGCGCCCTGCTGCAGGTGCGGGGCCGCCTCAACCCTTCTCCTTCTCCTCCTGCTCGGCCGTGCCCCGCAGGTGTTTCCCGTGCGGCTTTTTCCACAGGTGCTGTTCCGGGTGGTCACCTTCGCGCTGAACGCCTTCACGCTGCGCTACCTCTCCAGGGAGCTCATCGGCGTGGTCAATGTCAGGTGAGGAGGAGGAGGCTGAAGAGCCCCCGGGCAGGTGGCCCGTGCCCCGCATCCGACCCACTGGTCCCCGGACATCCTTGAGGCACCCCCAGGAGGGCTTTGGGACGATGCTTGTGGGTGCTGGATCTCGGCTCTGTGGTCTGTATAGTGTTGCTTGTAATGCTCTGCATAACGCTGTTTAATCAGCTTTTGGGTTTGATGATTTAATGCTTCCACAGTTCTGTTTTGCCCCGAAACACTGGTAGCACTGGTCTGTTTTCCGTGTTTAAACCATCACCTTGCAAAGGAAAAACCAGACACAGCATGCTGTTCCCATAGGATACACTTTGTCTCTGCATTTTTGGTTTGTACCATATATTCTTGCCATTTGAGTAATCATTTGTAATTACTTTTTTTTTTTTTTAGGAAGAGGTGGTAATTTAGCTCAAATCACCATGTTTGCATACTTTTTAAGATTTGTCTGTCTGTCATGCAGTCCTGTGATGCTACTGCATGAAGGATTTCAGTAGTATGTAAAGAAATAGTTTTCTCTTCTTTTTTTTTTCCTTCCCACCTCCTTTAGGCTGACTCTGCTGTACTCCACGGTTGTCTTCCTCGCCAGGGAAGCATTTCGCAGAGCTTGTTTGAGTGGAAGTACAAAGAGAAACTGGAGCAAAACAATTAATCTCTTGTGGCTGACGTAAGATACCTCTAAAAGTTCACTTCTTTAGAATTTATTTCTAATTCTTGTCCGAGAGCTCACAGAATGAGAGGAAGTGTTTATTTACTAAGGTAATTATTTTAGCACTGAGCATTTAGAAGCCATAGTCATGTTTCAGGACTGATGCAGGAAGCTGGTCAAGACTGTTGTTTCAGCATTTAGGGACTAGATTTCTTTTTGGAGCACGTGGGAAAGTGCATTGCCAAAGGTGTTACCAGGAGCCATTTGTTCTGTTGCTTAACTGGAGTTCCATTTGCATTGTAGCTGTTGAAGGAAAACCCTGTTTTACAAATACAGTGTCTTTTTTTTTTTTCCCCTTCCTCTGCCTGCTCAGTCTTGCTCTTATATTACCTGTTGCACATTTGTGAATTTACTTTAGGTATCTCTCCCCTCCCCTGACCAAGTTTTTTATTCTTGAACCCTGATGTTGATTAATGGCAGGCAGCATAAATATTTGGGTAGGAGGGGTGTGAAAAGGTGAAAGAAAGAGTCGTTGGAATTAAAAAACAGGAAGGAAGTAGAACAACTGCTTTCAGCTGTTTATAGCAGAACAGCTTAAAGTCCACGTGATGCTGCAGCCAGAGTGTGTAATCACACATTGCAGCAAAATGGATTTTATGACTTATTTCTCTCTTCTGGCTGCTGGATACATTCTCTCTTCCTCTGCTCTTTCCCTCTGTCAGCTGTAGCACAATTAAGTGGGTTGGGAAGTAAATTTACCTGCCTGATATGGTGGGAGACTATCCCTGCATGATAAAATAGTACATTAGGGCACCTTAATGAGTTTTCCTGGAACCACCCAGCTATTAATTGGCTCTGGCCCAGAAGTGAGGGGTTATTTATGGTCATCTGCATCCAGGTATAAAGAAGAGAGATTGTCCCCTTCAGGGATGGGTTTAATACTAATATTTAAAATGCAATAATTCTGTTCTCTTAACTCTATTGTACTCAGCTTTCTGCAGTGTGACAGCCTTTTAAATGGGCTTTAAATGACAGAAATAACATTAACTGTGTGCATCTTTTTTTGATTTAATTTTTCCTTGTAGAGAAGCATAGCTTAAAATGAAAAGCAGCTTTCATGAAGCATCTGAAATATGTCTTAAGAGCTCTATGTCAAGTGCCTTAGGGAATCTGATAATATGAGGGTCAAATAGATCTTGCTCCAGGGATGTAAAACTTTGTTCACTCTGCCAGAAGCTCCGTGTTCCTGAAGCAGTGTCAGCAGAAGGGAATGCATGTCTGCTCTCCTGGGCCTGGCCTGGTTTTTTAGCTGCACTCCTGATGGAAGTGGCTGTGAGCTACAGCAGAGCACAGTGAGTTGGCACACCTGAGGGGCACACAGGCATTTCCTCATGCTCACTCTGGTGTTGCTCTCTGGAGAATCAGTGATTTCTGGAAGAGTGAAATTAGCAATTGGAGTGGTGGCATCTTTATCTGTAAGAGCAAGATCCATCAAAGCTTGTCTGACAAACCCCTGGTAAACACAGGCTGTAAATTTGCAGCAGTGAGAATTTGTGGTGTTCTGCAGGCTGATGTGGGATGTCAGAGTTGTTTGGTCCTAGGGCACAAGAATGCAGATATTTGACCTTATGTTAGGCTCTTAAGTAGAAAATAGACAAGTGAGGAAAACGTTTTTTGTGTCTTGCAAAGAGTGACATAAAGATGTTCATTACAACAAAAAAGAATGCATTCTAGGTATAGTAATAACAGAAATTAATTCATTGGGATTTTTTTCTTTTTTTTTTTCCCCTGCTGAAGTAACATTCGTATTAATTAGTTTTTATGTTAACTTTTTAGAGTCCCTCTTGGTGTTTTTTGGTCTGTTTTCTTGGGCTTAGTCTGGCTGCACTTGCTTGAAGTCCCTGATCCTTCTGTGGTTCCTCATTATCAGGCTGGTGTGGTGGCATTTGGCCTTTCTGCAGTTATTGAACTTCTGGGAGAACCGTGCTGGGTTTTAGCACAAGCTCATTTGTTTGTGAGACTCAAGGTTAGTAAAGTACATGGGGAGGGAGTTGGCTTTCTCTTGAACACATAACTGACCTAGAGCTTTTTGTATTCAAGCATATAAAACCCCCCTATGTGTCCTGTTTAGTACTGTATGGCATGGTTGTAACATAGATAGGAATTTGTAACCATTCAAGTAAGAAAGTTGGTTTATTTAGAAATTATCACATTCGAGATCATTAAATGCTTAATCACAAGTTTTAATTGTGAGAGGCACACTGCTTCCACAACTCTGCATTTCAATTGATTGTTGGTATAAAACTGTGAAATGTAGCAATTGAGAATAGTCTCAGGTAAAGATTTCTCCCTTCTGTCCCATACAAAGGACTGAGAAAGTGCAATGGAGGAGTTCTGAAATGGAAGAATTTAAAATTTACAGAGAAATTACAATTTAAGCTGACCAGCTCAGCAGGAAGAAACTCTGTGATAAAATCACACTGACTTTAAGAGTCTTACATTCCTACATAAATTCTATGTTAAACTAATGTATTCTAAAGTTGTGTAAGTGGCAGAAAATAACTCTTCTCTGTTTTCTCTTGAAGGTAATTGCTGAAAGCCTTTCAGTGGTATCAAAATGCATTTTGACGGTTACTTTAGTAATCCTTTATCCTCAGTGGGGCCTTTACATTTTTGCCTTGGCTCAGGTAAGTTTTCTGTGTTTTCACTCACCTGAATTTTTATTTGCCTTTGACATTTAGCCTGCTAAAGAACTTTGGGAAGCTGAGGGGAAAAAGCTCCTGGGAGGTTTAGGGTTTAGCACTTGTATTTAGTATTTTCCTGATACTTGTTGTTGACTTGGTGCCTTGAGCAGTGTAATGGAGGTACAAGGAAGGACATTCTGCCTGTGAAGGCACATTTTGCAAATAAAGTTGTGTTATTCTGTGTAAGCTTTATGTGGACTCTTTTTCTTACTGAGTTAAACCTTCTAATGCCTGAAGACTCTGTTCCCCATCTGGCTTCAGAATTATTAGACTTTGGATTCTACTCTGTAGAAGACTAATCATGTGCAACTTTATCAGCCTGTACCACCAACCTGTATCACCTTATCAGGAGGTGCTAATCGTGTGCAATGTATTCAGGTTAAAATTTTTTCTTTACTGCAGTGAAGAAGGGATGTATTGGCACCTGAAAAATAGAGTTGTGACCTGTGTACTCTCAGTTCACCTAGACATAAAAATGTGATCCACTGCAGATGTGGACAGCAGGTTATTTTTAATTTTGTTCACTTTTTGCAGTGGCTGTAGTAGGTGGCTCATAACTGATGGAAGATGGAAATGATTCTATAAAGTAAGAGATGTAGACAGTAGCTACTCTGTCAATTTGATTTTTGATTGAGTGAATAATTGCTTTGTAATTGGACTTTAAATAATCATTCTAAAAATGCTAAATAAAACATGACAGTTAGCAAAGGACTGTGATAACCTACAGTTTTAAAAACAAAGATCAATAGCATTCTTGAGAGGTGTTAAAGTCTTTACCTAGTTTAATATTCGACAGGAATAAGGACTGCTTACGTTTTCTTTCCACTAGATTTGCAACTACTATGTAATTCTAGCATGTAAATCTACATTTGTAAGTTAATTTTATATCACTCTTTGTTTTTTGTCTCTCCTTCCCAATCTTTCCAGCTTTTATATGCCACTGTTCTGGTAATGTGCTATGTAACTTATTTTGTGATGTTTTTGGGATCACCTGAAGCAACAAAAAAGTCATTTCCAGTTGCTAGAGTGAAAGCTCTGTTACCTAACTTTGTGGCAGATGAGGTAGGTTGCACAGTTTTTCTTGATTTCCCTCCCTCCCTTAAAATTCTTTTGTTTTGAAAGTTACTTTGAGACAGTGGAGTTCATTGACTGATTTGGGGAATATTTCTGCACTGTAGAGGATATGGCAGGTTAAAGAAAAAAAAATTGCATGAAAGTCCTGTTTGTATTTTTTATTAGTAGAACCCTTGTCAGAAAAATAAGCTCATAACAGCAAAGAGTTCATTGTTACTGACTTGGTTTGTGCAAAGATATTTAAAAAACGTTAACTGGAGACAGAACATCTGCACTGTGCAGGGTATCACTGGACCTGAGGCAGGAAAGAAGCCAGAACCATTTTACCATGGATTTTGGTACTTGGACCTTTCCACAAAATAACCAAGGTGCTGCACAGCATCCTGCAGGTTCTCAAATATCTCTCAGGCAAAAACGAGGCAAAGAAAGAATGAAAAGCTGCAGCAAGGAAGGCAACGTTTTGAAGAGATTCACAGATTGAAAAGATAAAGGTGGTTCTTGGATGCAAGACTTATCTACAGTGAAGGTGGAAGTTATACTGACATGCTAAACAGCATAGATGTGGCCTTTTCTGGTCTCTAATTACTATTTTCTGTAGAAAGCTTTTTTGGGTACTTTATCTGCAACAACAGTACTTTTCAGCAAGGGAATAAGTTTTTGCCAGATCAGAGTGATGTTGGTCCTTGAATTCAGCAATATTTTAAATAATATTTGAGATTGTTAGAAACTGTGACACAGTGGGTTTCCTCATCACTTCAGTTAGAGCTTGCCTGGAGTATTGCACTGGCTTTGTATTTTCTGTTTCTGCTCTGTATGTTCAGTCATGTTTATTACATTTCAGTACTTTTTTTGCAGACCTTTGTTAACTGGAAGGAAGCACGTTTGACTTGGAGTTTCTTCAAACAATCCTTCTTGAAACAGATTTTGACAGAGGGTGAGGCTTTCCATGTAGTTGTGGTGGGGAAGGTCCTGTGAGCACTCCTTACAAAATGGACTTAGAGCTTCAGAAAGCCTGGTGGGGTGGGGGGAGGCAAGAGACTGTCACAGATTGTTACCAACCAGAATGAAGCTTTTTAGGGTAACCTGAACCAGGTTCCATTTGCCTTAGTCTCTTAAATACTTACTATTGGAAATACTAGAACAAGTATTGGGAAATATTTAGGGACTCGTTCTCAAGTTTTTTGTTTTTGAACTTACAGGTGAACGATATGTGATGACTTTTTTGAACGTGTTAAATTTTGGAGATCAGGGTAAGTGTGATGGTGCTGTGGAATGGTGACAGAGTTTTCTTAGTCACTGCTCTGGAGATGGTTCTGAAAATGACTTAAAGTATTTGAAGATAATTTGAAAATCTGGGAATATTCCAAAGCCTTTGTGACTTTTGAGATACATTTCAGAGAATGATTGATACAGATAGAGAAAAGAATTTGATTTGAGATCATAGAAACATAGGATGGCCTGGGTTGGAAGGGGCCTTAAAGATCATCTACTTCCAAGCTCCCTGCTGTAGACAGGGATAACTTTAACTAGATACATATCATTCTCTTCTTCTGTATCCATAAATCCTTATCTTCCTATTCTCATTCAGTGAATTTATCAGGATCCTCCTAATTCCTCTACAGTAAGGAATAAGAATTTTCAGCCTGGCTTGGTGCTGTTATTGGATTTACATCTGCAGCTGATGCTTTTGTTCTCCTTTGCCATCTATGAGCCAGCCTTGCAATTTTGAGCTGTGGTGCTGTGACTGTCAGAATCTTTAGAAAACACTGCTTCAGTGTTGCACTAAATTCCATTTGTTTTCTCTTTGTTCCGTGGAGATGTTAAATTAGAATTCATGTTGTTATTAAAGACTTGGAATTAAAATGCGTCTAAAAATTAAAGATTGCTGCTGTTTTTGTTTTCAAGGTGTATATGATATTGTGAATAATCTTGGTTCACTGGTGGCCAGGTTTGTCTTTTTGCCTATTGAGGAGAGTTTTTATGTCTTTTTTGCTAAAGTGTTGGAAAGAGGGAAGGCTGTAAAGGATCAGAAGCAGGTAAGTTTATTTTGGATTGATTACATGTCAAATGCTTGATTCTTGTTACAGATAAGTTGCATCACAAAAGTGTGACAGAAATGTGTGTTTGAATTTGAGTGTTGAGGCTGTTAAAACTGAAAAGTTCAAGTGGAGAACAAAAATGTCAAGTGAGGCAGGGCCAAAAAAAGACAAGAGAATAGGTGAAATGCTAAAGATATAGAAATTAAAATATGCAGTGATGTGGTATTACCTTGTGCCAATGAAGTGAACATCCTCTCCTCCAAACTCTGTGATGTAAAACCTGCTGTACTGTGTATTTCCATTATTTAAATCATGAAATCATACTATTTCTATTAAATAAATTCTTGATATACTTGAAAATATCAAAAGCTGTTAAGTAGTGTTTCTGGAGAGTGCAATTTTGAGAAGGAAATATTTGTATTTTTTCTTGCACTTTTGAATTGTATATGGAGAATTAATGAATAAGAGCTTTACTGCACAGAGTAATATTCCTGTCAGCCTGGGCTGACCTTCCTGTGGTAATCCTGCTACTTGCACATCAGCACAGAGTTCAATCCTGTGCTTCAGGTCATTGGTGTGCTAAGAGAGGTGTATGTGTATATTTTATATCCAGTGTACCTGATGTTATAACTGAAAAAAACGATGGGATAATAAATATATTAAAAAAATTTCCAAGTTAAGACCATCTGTGTGGATAATTCAATAACCAAGGATAAGTTTCACACCTTTTTACACTGTGCAAACTAATTCATTTTTTCTGTGAAGTATCATTTCTGTGTGAAGATGACCATGACATTGATTCTGGTTCATGTCAGTGACTACATTTTTTTTTCAGGATGATGTTGCTGTGGCTGCAAATGTATTGGAATTGCTGTTGAAGCTTGTGCTCCTGATTGGCCTTACCATCACTGTTTTTGGCTATGCCTATTCTCAGCTGGCTCTGGATATTTATGGAGGCTCAATGCTCAGTTTGGGAACAGGTAAAGATTTATAGAGCTGGCAAAAAAAAGCCATTCCTTTAAAAAGAGAAACTGCAGCTATTATGAATTTTTTGGTAAATCAGCAGATTTTTTTTCCTGTAAAATTCCTATTGAAATCTGTGACTAAGCTCATTGAAATCCAGAATTTGTGCCTTTGTAAGAGTGTCTTTAATAAGTAGTCCCTTAAACTAAAATATGCTGAGGACCTCTAATGAAGTATGATGAAGCTTGGGCCTCTACCCTCTTGCAATATCACATTGTTGAAAAACAGCATTTAAAGGATTATTTGACTAAGCCATGATGTACAATTGCTGACTTCAGCTGTTTAAAACAGAAAACCCCTGTACAACAAATGGGACCCAAAGAACTAATATTTTTAGCATAGAAACAATAATACTTTTTTTTAAAATGTCACTAAACTACATAATGGTCAAGGAATTGATCTGTTTATCTTTGTAACATGTTTTTTAGGTCCAGATCTCCTCCGGTGTTACTCGTTATATGTCCTCTTTCTTGCTGTCAATGGAGTAACAGAATGTTTTACATCTGCTTTGATGTGCAAAGAAGAGGTGGACAGGTAGGAAACTGTCCCCAGAATATTCCTGTTAATTTGTTTGTGCTGACCTGATAAAGAAATTGGTGCTTTTGAAATCAGCATAATAATATCCTGCCCCACTGAAAATCAACTCCTGGTTAGGCTGTCTGCATGTAGATTTAGATGTAGAACCTTTGGCAAATGTTAAAATGTTTGGGTAAAAGGGTCAGAACTTAAGAAATGCAGGTTGTTAAATTATCTTTCAGTAAATCACTAACTGGGAAAGTAATTTAAGTGTGTGTTTTCTGTACAGATGAGCTGGAAGTTACACTTTTTAAAACAATTATTTGACTCATTAGAACTTTGCCACTATTAGAACTTTTCATGTACAGTTACTGTATATACACTTAGGAGTGATCTAAATTGTGGGTGTGAATTCAGTGATTTATGTACTTTGTAGGAGGTTGGATTAGATGACCTCCTGAGATCCCTTCCAGCCTGGATTATTTCTTGATTCTGTGTTCAGGCAGTCCCTGATGTGGCCCTTCCAAATTAATTTCAGTGAGATCTATTTTCTACAACCGAAGTAGGATCTTTTTTGACTTTGCAAGGGCTGCTTTCATGACCTCTTTAAAATGTGAACTTGTTTTCCAAACCACTGTTTGGAACAAAAACTAAATAGAGTGTCAGTTTTATGTTGTTGAGCATTTATTGTCTTTAATACATTCCTAAAATAAAGTAGCAAAAAAATCTACAGGTTTTTGCATTGCTAATGATCATTACTAAATTTTACTTTCTGAAATGAGTGTACAGCTGATCAGTGAAACAGAATTTCCTTCACATAATGTAGTTCTTGGTTTAATTTGTTTGATGTATTCTCCATTCTTTCAGGTATATCTTTTAACATCTCACTTCTCAGATTTATCTTCTCCTCTAGAAGATAAGAGAAATTCTGTTCCTTATTGTAGAAAATAAAAGATCATCAGTAAAGGAACGCTGTAACTTTATGCAATGCTAAGTTGTTTCTTTTTTTTTTGTGGTTTTTTTTTTTACCTAGGTACAATTTTGTTATGCTGGCTCTGTCCTTCATATTTCTGTGCATCTCTTATTTCCTGACCCACTGGCATGGCAGCATAGGCTTTATCCTTGCCAACTGCTTTAACATGGGCATTCGAATCGCTCACAGCATCCACTACATCTATGATTACTTCAAGGAAAGCCCTTACAGGCCTCTGACAGGTTTGCTTCCCTCTCCCTTTTTGGTGCTGGTTTATATCATCAGTGGAGTCATCACTGCTTTCTCAGAGGTGAGCATCTTTCTCTTCCCTTTCACTGTGAACATGAGTGTCAAATGACTTTTGTGTCCACAGGCAGAGAAAAGCATTAAGAAAGAAGGGTAGGCCGGAAGGTTTCCATTGCAGGCAAGGCGAGATATAATATTAAGAGATTTAATCTTTGATACAAAGTTATCTCTGCCACCTGTACAAGGTGTGTCTGACAAGTGAAATAAATTTTAAAACATTTCTGCTGTCTGTAGATAAATGTGTCCTTAGTTATTAGTAACTGAACTTTTGCAGTAGCACAAAAAAACCCCTATTAAAAATTCTGTAGTAAAAAAGTGATAAACAACCAAAACCAGAACAGAAACAAAAATTCCTTAGAGCACATTTATCACATTTATTCAGACAACAAGGTGGTAATTGCATAGACTAAATATTACAGAGATGGTAGCTTTTCAATGTACAGATTTTGACAGCTTGAAAATCCATTATGCCTAAGAAGGGAGAGCTTTATATTTTGGCATGGGAGATTTCCAGTTTTGTTAGAAAATAGCCTAATATGGTGCTGCAGAGTAGCAGAACTGCATGATAGCACCACAGAGTTGTCATCTCAATTAACGATTTTCTGCATGCCAGATAATAAGAGCTTTTACTTTTTATCATTTAGCAGATATGTACTGAATGCTTATTTTTTGTTGACAGAATTTTCTTAAGAGAAAGCAAGTGTTGTGCCTCCTAAAGGTGACTTCACTGTAGGATCAGTGCATGTGGCCAATCCGCGCTCACCGTGACGGTGGCGTAGCGTGATCGAGGGAGGTGTTGGGCCTTATTTGTTACCAAGACAGTGAGTTTATTTTGTGCTGACTGGTTTTCCTGCAATTACTTGTTTCCTTTGTTGCAGGTGTTCTTCTGCTGTGATAAGGGGTGGATGGCAAGGCTGATCCACATCGGTGTGGGGGCTCTGTGCTTTGCAGCAACCGTTGTGACGATGTTCTGCACAGAGACCAAGCTGATCCACTTTGTCAGAAGCCAGTTCCTCTCCCGCTATTTGAAGAAAGGAACATGACATGCTCCTGTGCAGGACAGTTCTTGTATGTGCTTGCAGTAGAGGGATGTATTTTTTTCCATAAGATCTGTATGAGGGAAAAAGGTTTCCACACGTGTTTGGAAGCACTGATATTGGAGTGGCAATGCAGGAGATTGAATATTATTTTGTCTTCTGAACTGGTCAGTACGGTGAAAGAGAGATGAGTGATTTTCTCTTTAATCACTGTTATTTTCCAAGCTTTTCTTCAAACAGCCTCGTGGGTAATGAATGAAGATCTAAGATGCACCTTCTGACATAACCTGGCTGACAGACTTCACATGGAGAGCTCCTGTTCCCACCAGTGGGGAGTGTGTGTGTGAAGGCGTGATGTGGTTTATATCATAAGGTGTACCTAAGAATGCCCTTATTTGGCATGGAGGGGCTGCTTTACTGGTGAGAAAATGATCTGACCAAAACAAACCCCAAAAAACCCACACTAAAACCCATTAAACAAAACAAAAACTGAGGAAAACACTGGGACAAGGACCAAAAGCAATGTAAGTGTTGCTGGAGCAGAACACAGTGTGGTGCAGAGGGATTGAGTTGTCAGTGTTTTGAAGTGTAAAGCAGGGACCAGAAAGTCCTGACGTTTCCAAGTAAATCAGTGGAATGCACAGCGTGTGTCCGTGCTGGCTCTGTGGGATTATTGCACTCAGCATATCCCTCATTTCTGAGGGCATTGATTAACTTGTCAAAAATACTCTGAAGCCTCAGCTGAAAGGAGAAAGAGGGTTTGAGCAGTGTCTTGCAGGAAGTGTTAAGTACAATCACACTCATGCTGAAGTTCCAGGAGGTTAATCATAGAACTTTCTTCTTTCATTCCATTGTTTTTCGGTTTTGTCTGAGATTTTAAATGCCAGCATGAACACATATGTCTCAATAAAAATTATTTTGTTTTATCTATAAAAAAATCTGAACGTTAAATATATTTATTAAGATTTTTTACAAGGGTTTATGCGTATTGGAGCTTTCTTTACTGGGTAGAAAATACTTTTCCTTGCAACATTTTCCTCTTTTCCTCACATCTTATTCCTTTACTTGTTCAGTCTTAACCTTCAGGTTGATTTTTTTTTTTTAATTGTTGAAAATTTGGGCATTCAGCAGTTGCAAAATTTGATTTTAGGCTGTTGGTTTAGGTTTAGTAATGGTGTATTTTATTGCTGCTCTAAGATCCAAATTTGGCAGCTTCAGAATGTAGAAGGGGCAGGTTTATAATGTGCAGGTGAAAGCTTTTAGTTTAATTGTGTAGCAACTCTGCAAATCCTCTGCTTGAAAAAAATAAATCACTGTAATGGCACTGTGGAGTTCATCCAGGTGACCACAGTGCCCAGGGTGAAAGGCTTTCTGGTATCAGGGCCTTCAGCTTGCTAATCAGGAATAGTTTCTGAACTCTGGGAATTCCCACTTGGAAAACATTGCCAAAGAAACTCAGTGTGGGAATTTGGTGATTGAAAAATGACCCCAGAGAAACCAAAATGTAAGAGTGGGAGGGAAAGGTGCATGTCCTCAGCTAGGGGCAATGTCTCTGTTGCCTGGCTGGAAGGGAGTAGGTAGAGACTTGCTGATTCTTCTAAAGCTGTTATAAAATCCATCAAAATAAAACAAACTCTATGTTATTCTGTCCTGTTAATTGAGTTTGGTGGTTCTTTGCCTTTTAAATTTTTCTCTTCTGAGTGGTCTTGCAGCTTTTTTTCTCCTTTCTGTCAGATATGGAGTTTGTTTTGAAGTATAGCTCCATATATTGCAAGAGGGTTGAAACTTCTTTATTATAAACTGTTCAGTTTCTTTTTCTTTGCTCATTCATAGTACAAAAAAATCAAGATAATTGAACCTATGGACTGTTTTTTAGGGTATGTCTTTGAAACCTTACTGTGGAAATAATTCAATCTGTACAGTGAATTTTTATAACTGCTTGGAACGAGATATTTTGTATAGCCCTGCACTTGAAGTGCTTTGGAGATTGAATAATTTTTCATGCAAAATGAGCTTGAATTCCTGCTGCCTTGTCTAGTCCTACAATCCAGCTGGACACTGATAGTACTTCTGCTACTTACAGTGTCATAAGTAGGGTGATGTGAGATCTCACTGTTCAAAGGGCTGTCTAGTCTCATAAATCTTTTTAACATAAATGCATTGTATGCATTTAAAGACAAGTTAGATTTTTAAAGCAATTTGTTTTATTTCCTATTGGAAAGGCTTACAAGTGTCTCTTGCATCTCAAACGAGTGCAATTTCATGTGAATCAGGAAGACATTTAAGGTGGCTTAATGATTGCTCATTTGCAAATTAAGGACACATTCCTCATTTGAACATCATCTGTAAGCAGTTCAGTAATGGTTGACTGGGTTTTGTGATGTGGGATGTTTTATTTTTAATATATTTTATGTGGCAGGAAACTGCAAGGAGAGTCGGGAAGTAGAGACCCATGAAGCTGTCTCCTGGTTTCTTATTTATCTGTGTGAGCCTTAATGTGACAGCTGTTAATTGCTTTATTGGGAAAGCAATAAACTGTCAGACTCAGGGATGAAGCTGAGATTGAACTTGACCATGTTTCCCTTTTGTTCATAGTTCTGTTAGTCTGTTAAAGGCACAATTGTCTAAAATTTCATGAAACTGTTTTGCAGTGTTCTGAAGTCTTTTAGTTCAAGTCAAAGGAGAATTAAATTAAAAAGTTTTCTTTGTAGAAAAAGTGATGTGTTTTTCTTATTGGTTGTACGAGTGGCTTCCAAAAAATTGTAAAGTATAATGGTTATATAATAAGGTAACACCAAGTAAAATTTATTTCCTTTACATTTTGGAGTTTTAGTTGTGTCTTTGGTTGCTGATGCTTGGTTTGTATTTTCTAGGATATTTTATGTACAAATTCGTTTATCAGCCTAAACTTATACACCATTTCCTAACACACACACACACACGAGCAAACACACAGATGAAATATGCTGTGCTAGTTTTGTAAGAAGTGGCATCATTATAGTCACTCTTTTCCTCTTTGTTTCTGTCAAAATGTTTGTTTGTGTGGATTAGAATCACTAAGTGCCTTTGTTTGCCTTTACAGTGCATTGTTGTGATAAAAACTGTTTCAGTGGCCAGGAATCAATCTGATATTTAATAAAGTTTGTTAGAATTAGGCTGTGACTGGCAATGCTGCTGTTGGGAACTAACCAGTTAACCAGTTGTTCAAATGTTTTTTTCTAGTATGGTAAATGTTTTATTTGTAAAGAAGTAGGGCAGGGGGAGCACCTCTTTAGGAAAAGAAATTAGGAGTTAAAGCTTTGCCTTAATGGTTAATCTGCTTTAGCAGGCACAAAAGTAATAAATGTAAGCTTGAATGTTAATCACAATTTGACATCCAAAAGGAATGTTGATTCTTAGTGGGTATAAAGGATTAGGAGTGTGAGTACCTTGAGGTCAGCTGGTCTTAATTCCCTGGTTTATGGATAGTGTTCCTATCTAAACTGTGAAATTCTTTTTGTGGACTTCATATTTTTGCTGTTTGAACATCATACTTTTTTTTTTTCCCTTGTAGTTTAATTACCTTAAAGATAATGCAAAGAGAGGATCTGAGGCTTTTTGAGCCCTATCAGTGCATCAATAGATCTGCTGAGATGTAATGGTTTTGTTCAGCACAAAATGCATAACTCATCTGCATTATCATAGTGCTGTGGAAATGGAGTTTGTCTTCATTATGAGCTGAAAATGAGGTTTGGAGCTCTGCACATCTGATGTACAGCTGGGCCGTGGAAGCTGAGTGCAGGTCTGCTCAAAAGCATTGGCAGCTGGGGGATCTGAGGAAAACACTGCTAGGAAGTGCTTATCTCCACTGCATTTTGGATTGCTTCCATGGAAAGATGTTTGTTCTCCTTCGTTTCTGGAGCTGAGCTGTGGCTCATGCACTGCCTTGCTGTGATGTAGAAGGAGGAATGAGCCCTTCTCAGTTGGGGTGTCTGTAACTGCACAGCTGCCGTGGGGGGAGTTGTTCACCCAGTCTGATCAGTGTGAGCTTCCGTGGGCAGCCAAGGGAGGATTTTCTTCTTACACTCGTGGGGAAAGGTAAAACAGCTCTGGTTTTTGCTTTGTCAGACTTCCTGTTTAGCTGTGGTAAGCGAGCCTCTGGCAGCTCTGTGTGTTGATTTACTGGCTGGGTTTTGTGATTTACAGATAATCTGTGCTCAGTGTAACTTAGTCCCAGAGTTCCGTGCCATCCCACTGATCTGAGACAGTGGAAAGGAACGTAACCAAGAAAACATGTGCTATATCTGTGGCCCACTTAATAATGAAAGCTGTGTCAAAAAGAAGAAAAAAACTGGGAGAGAGAGCAGTCCTTAAACACAGATGAGGTGTATGAGTAGTTCTAATCCAGTAGTAAACAAGAATCATGTTTTGTTCCTTGCGATACACTTTGGAGAGGCTGCTCCAAAACAGGAAGGTGTAACAGAGCTTGGGAGAAGATTGCAAGGTTTAGTTCTTCATGTTCTTGAATACAGGAAGATTTCAGACTCTTACAGCCTCCTGGGAGAGGGGTGAGTGCAGAACAGCGCACTGATGCTGTTCCAAAGCGATGTGTTTGTGTTTCTGAGAGCAGCCGAGACACAGTCTTGCACTGCCTGTGAGAAAGTGCCTTGTGGTCACTTGGGAATATCTTCCAATTCCTTGTTTTGTTTTTTTTTTTTCTGATTACTGTTTCATTCATATGTTGGTTTCATTCATAACCAACTCCTGTGTGTAGGTGTGTCCCTTATTTGCTGTAACAAGTCAATCTCAGTATGAAAATGCAGGAGGTCACCAGAGCCCTGCACTGGGCTGGAGTGAGGAGGGTGTTGGTCAGCTCACTGCAGGCAGTATCATGACCTGCTTGCCAGCCCTGACAGCAAGGAATGAGGAGGGGGTAGATTATGATTGCACAGAAAAATTTAATTGTGCCTTCTTCTCAGTCCTACGTTTGACTTGGCAGTACTAATGTTTCCCTAATGGAAGGGTTTTTTGGGAGTAATTTTATAAAACAAGTACCATAAAGTGCACTCATGTGCCTTCTCTTGTTTGTGTAATGGTTTTTAGCTGTCTGGGCGTGGGTGAGATGTTGTGGTACAAGGAAAGGCAAACATGGCCAAGTATGGTAGCTGTGCAGGGAACACAGTGTCCCTGAGAGGAAAGGCCTTTAGCCTGTGAGTTACTTCCGTCTCTGAATGCACTTCTGTCACTGCAAATAAAACTCTTAAGTATGTCTCTGCACAAGTGCCTCTCTAGGCAACTAGGAGAACATGCTTGGAAGAAGCAGAGTATGCCCATGAAGCAGAACACACTTTGCTACAGACTGCTTGTCATTTTGCTTTGCTGGTCAAGTAAGGCTTATTTATGCATTGAAAATAGAGGCCTTAGTGTGTAACAATATTCTTTTTTACTCTCTCTGTAACAGTCCTCCCATATTAGTCCTCTGTATTAGCCTGTGGAAAACTGTGTTTTTCTGTGGTTCCTTCAGAATTGTACTGATCAGTTTTAGTATATTCTTTTTCTCCCTCAGGTGACTTTATTACACAGTAGCTGTACACATGTTCATCTGGGAGCTCTGGTGAAGCACAGGGTGAGAGTCAGGGAGGTGCTACGGCTTCACTCAAATCCTGTTCCACACAGCAGGGTTGGATGAAGTCTGGATAGAACCTGCACTGCTCAACAGGAGGTAGGTGTGATGTCCCATGGCCTGGGTCTAACACAGCACAGATGTGAGTACCTTGCTTCAGACTTCTAAAGAAAAGCTGAGAGAGCTGTGAAGAAAAATCTGTAGTAAAGCCAGGCAGGATAAGAAAGCCAGGTCTGCTGTCTTGAGACAGCAGCTCCAGGATTCAGGAGGAAAACCACCTACAAGTGTGCATTCCTGAATGTAAATACAGAGTTGGAAGGTGGCAACTCGTGAGCCCTGAAGGCCCATTTTGGGGAGCTGCAGAGATTCCCCAGAGATTCTGCTGGTTCAACTCAGAGATGCTCTGAGTTTTACTGAGTGTTGTATATATGCTGTGCTTTGTAGCTTTTAAAGTTTCACTGGTTTTGTGCATCTAAACCAAGACATGAGTTATCTTTTTGAAGTTGAATACATTATAGAATTGTAGAATAATTTGAGTTGGAAGAGACCTTTAAAGGTCATCTAGTCCACCCCTCTGCCATGGGCAGGGTCATAATATCCTGCTTGTGGAGCCTATTTGCAGTTGACAAAAGTTACCTGAAT